ATTCATCTCTCAGTCACTGTGACCCAGACCTCCTCAGCTGGTGACGTCACAAGGCGATAAACAGGTTTCACTTCCTGTCCTTCAACAAGATGGAACTTAAAGCGTCTTATGAGAACAGACAAGAACACCAGTCCCTCCGCGATCGAGAACCGCCATCCGGGACACTTGCGTTTTCCAGCGAATCCAAACGGCTGGTAAGCAAGGCTTGGAAGCTGTTTGATGTTCTCTGAACTGAAGCGATCTGGATCAAACCTGATACAGGAGAATTGAATGAAGTGAGGAGCTCATTTCAAACGAGTGTCGAAAATCCGACACCAAATAAACCATAAAGCGCGAGAAAAAGCGTGTAAACAAGTCTTGTTTGGTTTAAGTTTTGATCCCCGCTCAGAAAGCCAGTTTAACTAAGCACGTGAGAACTCTAATTCGTTGTCTGCTATAACTGTTACCTTTTCGGCTCTGGCCACAAATTCTGGTCTTGTAATACAACTCCAAACGGAAGAAGAATGGGGGTCTATAAAATAAGAACTCCTCATAAGTTTGATTCCAGGAAAGACTTCTTAACGCTAGACCGTAAATTGCAAAGGATTTACCTCTTTTGGAATAACAAATTCTCCGACTTGGAGGTCATACTCGTGGACTCTGGCTCCCCATGGAGCGAGTACTGAAGCACGAAGTGTCTCATCTATTACTTGACGAGTGTACCTGAAGTAAAGTGTGGACAAGACAACAAGTGATTTAAGACCAGCACACACGAGGGAGAAGTCAGGCACGCGACAATAAGTCTGGTCTGGTCTCTCACGCGTGTGTTCCTCATTTTCTCGCAAACACAGGAATTATTTTAAAACCCTTTCACCCCTAAGAGTCACTAGCATCTAATTTCTCCCTAAAATATCACCCCTGATTCACATACTAAGGTCATATGAATAGAAAAGCTCTTGATTGTTAAACAAATTCTCCATGTCAGCACCTTAGGAATGTATGGAAAAGAATGTGAGGAATATGCATAGCGATGTTAGGTGTAAAGGGCTAGGAAAAGCAAGAGAAATGAGGAATAAAAAAAATGTCTAATTCTCATCTCTTACTTAGAGCCATCTGTAAGTTATTTTACATTAACATAAAAGAAACGTTTTTATTTACGTCAGTTCTGTCACTACTTGAGGTTTGATGTCCTCCTGTCCCAGAACTTCTTCCAGTTCAGCAAAAACTTTTTCTTGGATCTCTGGATGTTTGGTCAGGAAGTACAAACACCAAATCATCACTGTTGGAGAAAAAAAATTTATACTCAAATTCTAACCCTTTCTAAGGCTGGTGTATCAATTCCTTAATTGGGATCATTTCCAGCGTTCAATTTTGTTTACAATTTTTTTTTCACTTCTTTGCTTCACACAGAGATTTGCTCTCATTGGAAAATGCACCTATCTAGTGGCCTCTAAAATCAATTGTTCACAACCCAGTTTCCAGTGGTCTACCTTTGCCGATAAGACTTCTCACTGCCATCTGTTTAGCCAGTGAGTAGTCTCTCATTTTAAGCTTTCTCCGACACGGTCTTCAATTAAACCACTGACAGCCGCTCATGGAAAAAGTTATGGAAACCCCCTGATTGTTCAGCATCTTGTTTTAAGTTCACACTCTGCTAAGAGCCACCTCAAAGTGAATGTGTAATAAGTGACCATCTATTATAATGAGTAGGGTCGCAACAGTGTGGAATCAAAAACATGACAGACTGTCATTCGGACACAAAGATGATATCTGGATGTCATATGATATGGGATATTTTATTTTGAGTATTCTTTGGTACGACTCTGAACAAACAAATATTTCTTTCGTCTGTAACAACCATAAATCACCCTCTCATCTTGGATTAAATTTTAAATGAACACTTATCATAGTGGATGTAAGGTTTGAAAATTGGGGAATATCACTTAGGTGATATCCTGGGATATCCCCCTGTTTTAACTGAGGAATATTCAGTCACATGACGTGTTGAGACCAAACATGCACAAGCGCAATTGATGGATCATAAACAATATGAACTCACTGTTTCCTGTAGTATGGAATCCTCCGATAAGAAAAGTTATAACATGGTCACAAATCTATAAAGGAGAGAAGAACATACATATGAAAACCATCATTAATTTTAGTTGAAGTTTCTGAAAAATTCACCATTAAGTACTCTCCAAGTTAGGATGAAGACTAAGGATAAAATTATAATCACATCAACCAGTAAAGCTTGTTTCTTATTCACATCCTTTCATTCGAAAGATGCAAGTATTTACATTTTCACCCCTGAGAGTGACTAGCATCTAATTACTCCTTACCAGACCACCCTTGGGTCAAATCTTAAGGTCATAGGAATAAAGGACTGAAATGATCACCAACTAAAGAATCTCTGAATCAAACATTAAGTTCATGAATTTAATGGAAATAGTGAGAAGCTTGTTAGTTTGAAGCAAATCCTGCCTGCAGTTTTGTAAGAAATTTATAAGGAACAGTGTGATACAAGCCACACAAGAAGCAAAAAAGTAATTGTGATATTAAACAAATAATTGTACATCACATCAGTGATGAGATTGCTATGACTAATTTATTTATTTATATATTTGCCATATCAAAACTGGCTGGCTCAGTTCAGCTTACAGCTGGTTTAAATGGGGGCCTTTATAATCAATCTAAAGGTTCAGTTAGACTACATCACTGGAAGCTATGTTCCCTACTCTTTGCAAGAATTGGGTGAGTTTTTTAACGTCCCCTGCTAACTAGTACATTGAAGATGTGAGTGACAGGGCCTACAGTTAATTGTCCTTATCAAAGAGCATGAGAATGTCATAGCCAAGGCAGCTGATTCTCGACAGTTATTTAAAGACCCTAAGTGTTGGTCTGGTCTGGGGCTTGAACCCCAAAACTCCAATCACAAGGTAACCTGGGGCTCTACACCTTGAGCCACACCCTAGCTGACACAAACAGCTCAAAAGACACACCCTTTGTTGCCCCTCCTTAATTATTAATATGAGGTAATAGTCATTAGATACAAGGTTAAATTAGTTACCTCTTCTTCATCCATGAAGTCATTATCCAACATGGAGTCAATGAATAACTTTTCAGCTTTTTCTGTGTCCTGACGCCTCTTTCTAATGAGGTCTCTGACAAGTTTCTGCATCTCAGCTCGAGCTGAAAATAATTCGAAAATGTACACTCAAGAGGGTGAATTTCCATAAACTAAAAAGGAATATTTATACTTACACAAAAACCACACCAGAAATTACTACACAATGGTGGACCCTTTCACTCCCAGGGGAGACCAAGAAAGAATTTCTCCTTACCACATCTACCCATTTTCAAGCAGAAAAGCAATGAGAAGAGAGAAAAAAATCAACGAGAGGATAAAGTTTAATTTTTACTAAATTCTCTGCACTAAAATTATAAAGAGGGCATATGGCTGACAGAGAGGAGATTTACATTAAGATCTACGGTGACAGAGGGTTAAAACAATGGAGAGAAAAGAAGAAAAATCTAAAATTCATCAAGGTTGCCATCAGGACATCATGCAAATAAATAAATCCCTTTTCAGCCTAACATCAGGATGTATATTCTCCACACTGTTCTCTTTACATTTCCAAAGGGGCTGACAAGGAGAATTTGTGTAAGAATCAAGAGTTGCTTTAGTTAATCATTTCCCTTATTCCTGTGACCTTAATGTGTGATTCAGGGGTGATATTGTAAGGAGAATTTAGATGCTGGTCACTCTTAGTGAGACTTCATTGACTCTGAGACTTCTTCCTAGTTTTCTTAGCACTTTCAACTCTTAGGGGTTGAGAGGTTAATTGTGATAAGTTAATAAAACAACATCTTTTATATTCACCAGACATTAGACCAGATAATATTGTGCTTGTACCTTTTTGAAAATTTTTCTCTCTGTCACTGTCTGGACCAGGAGGAGGTGATGTGAGACGTTCCTCCATCTCCTCCCAGCACTATGAAGAACAAACGCATTAACACAACTTTAAAACTTTACAATATGCATCATCAATTTAAGTTTCTCAAGGGGAACTTTCCCACTACAAGTGAAATTCAAAAGTATTTAAACTACGTGACAGCAGATGAGCATGGTAGAGCTAAATGAGAACTTGGTGATACCAATGGTTGGATCTGAGTGTAAACACAGCCATGACAACCATGTGAGTTGTACGAACTTTAAGGTGGGCATGACAAGGGAGCAGCAGCTAAGTGAGTGTTTGCAATGTGATGTGACGAGACTTACTCTTAGCAGGGAGCTGTAAATTTTCATTAGCCTCAAGTAAGTAAAGTAATGACCCCTTCCTAATTCCACTCCATCAATCTACCTTGCTTCAAGTTAAACTAAGCAGTAATTAGGTTTAACCCTCTAACTCCCAGAAGTGATTAACATGGAACTTCTCCCTACAATATCCATACATCATCCCACAAATGGGTAATGAGAATATTCAAACTTATCAGGTAGAAGTTGTTATCTTAATTTAACACCAAATTCTTATAACTAATTTACCAGGGAATGTTTAGCAGCTAGAAGGGAGAATTAACAATCAGATCTGGGAGTTAAAGGGTTAAGTCACTATGTTCAGCTGGTAACTTTTATTTTTTTCTTTATACTGTCCAACAGCATACCATATCCGTAAAGAAGTCTTACCACATCATATACTGCGGCTAACTTGTCAACTTCCTTTTCATCCATAAATGAACGGCCCATTCCTGCAACAGAGATGGCTTTGATTGCCATGGCAATCATACTTTTCCCCAAAGGAATATGTTCTTGAGAACCACCCTTAGCAAACTTGTCAGCTGTCTCTTTGGCAATCTGAAGGAATGAAAAATCTTCATAAATTAATTAAAGTTCATAATTCTGAAATTTCTAACTTTTTTCCAGGCTTCCCGAACATTTCCCTCTCACCCATCTTCATCACTGAGTGGAGATAGGTACTGCAAGAGCTATATGTCTTGTTAGCCATTCACACCTTAGCAGCATCAGTGTGCATATTCTCCATACTGCTCTCTATACATTTCCTATGGTATTTACCAGGAGAATTTGTCTAAAAATCAAAGGCTCCTTTAGTTGGTGAACATTTCCTTCATTCTCATGACCTTAAAGTGTGATTCAAGGCTGATACTGTTGGGAGAAATTAGATACTTATCATTCCTAGGGGTTAAAGGGTTAACCCTAAACCCTAAGAGCATGACCCTCAAACCTTGTCTTAACCCTGTACCTCTCAACTCAGAGTCTGACACGCTAACTGCTAGGCAACAGTTAAAGATTCAGTTTTACATCTTTGCCATGGGTGATCAATACGTAATTTCTCCTCAGACAGGAAAAATTCAACTAAGGATTGTTTCTTTTAATATTAAATTTTGACAGTTAAACTTAGAAATACAGGGCAGACAATGGGGAAAATTCATTTTGGAATCTACGGATTGACAGGATTTATCTATTGTGCTCAAAGGACTGTGACCCTGAGTCCAGCATACTAACTGTTCCAGTACAATTATTGACTTGATTAATTAAAAAAGAATTGTAATGTTAATGGTGTAAACGTGTCCAGTTTTTTGTCTGTTTGTTTGCTTTTAGTATGTATACAATGTCACATGATAGTCGGTAATAATTATAGTGTAAGTAGCATTCATTAGTAATGAAAAGTACCACAAAAGTGTAATATTTTAAGTAGATCTAGTTGGACAGTAGTTCTGTAACTGACTTATAGCAATTAGTAGTATTGTAAGTAAGAGAACAGAATTAGTGGCATTACTGTAAGAATTGTATCATAAATTGTATTAGCATTGTAATGTGCTGTCCAATTTGTAGGTATTGCTTCTGTCAATGGAGCAGAAAAAAATTTTAAAAAAGAGTCTGGTGATGTTGAACAAAATGCAAACAAAGCAAAAATTGTATGAAACCTTGACAAAGTGATCATAGTAGTCCTTGACAGCTTCATGACTAAAACTTCTGTCCATCAGCTGTCTTCTCTTCCTTCCATCTGGACCATTGGCATACTGGATACTTTTCTTGCCAATGAGCGGTTCAAACAGCCTGAAAAGATCCCCTGAAATATGGACAGAACATTGATATAACTGAGAAATAAGTACAGCATCTTTCACAATTTTAGAGTCCCTTTCCATCTAGAAATTTTCTTTATGTCATATGAATGTTTTGGAGATCAGAAGGTGGTCTAGAATATTTGACTTTGCAAATATAACATAACTGAAGTGTTCTTAAAAGCACTGATGAAGCACTGATGCCTAAAGAAAAAAATTAATCTTGTCTGTTTGAAAGAATGACATGCATCAGAACTTGTCCCATATGATTTTGTTCCCAAAATATCATTTATTTAGAGGTTAATTAATTATGAATAAAACTTAATATTTTAAAATTACAAATATCTTGTGACAAAACTTTCTATGTATATCAAAAACAGCTGTATTTCTATGCAAAAACATTAGACTGAGGTTATTTCAGCCCTCTTACTCCAAAGAGTGACCAAGACAGAATTTCTCCTTTTCAATAACAAGAAGACATGTGATGACAATAAAGAAGATTATCATATAGCTAGGCAGTCCTGAGGTAGATCCAGGCTTTCTGATGGGTTCTTGAATGGTTCATATTTTGCCATATGGATCATTTTCACAGAAAGGGTCATAAGTCATGTATTTTTGTTTATAAAAGCCAACAAATTTAAAATAATTTAGTTTGGTCCAAGTGCCAACTGTTAGTAATAAACTACATACTACCCTAGTAATTTGGTTTTATCAACTGAGCTAATAACATGAATTGGCCACTGTAAACAGTTTCAAAGCTGACATTTTGAGCATTAGCTCTTCCTTAGAGTGTCTGAAAAAGAGCTTATGCTCAAAACATCAGCTTTGAAACTCTTTACAGTAGCCAAATTACATTATGAACTCAGTTGATAAAACCAAATTACCTTGTCACACTCTCCCACTGATGCAGCACCACAGAACTTTAGAAACTTACCCCCTTTACTTACTAACCTTGCTTGCCCAAGAGTTACTGGGGAAAGTTGGCCCTTAATTGTTTGTTTTGGCATTGCCACAACCTCAGGCCAATATTCCAGAGTATGGCCTTCACATGTGGTTAGTAAATAGTTAATATCATTTAGGGGATTATTGCTCGATCAAATATCAAATTTCCCAAACTAACATGATATGAAAAAGTACAGCAGACAGTAAGGAGAATTTCTAATGAGATCTTGGGAGTGTAGGGTTCACATATGTAGTTAGGATAATCAAAATAATCCTTTAAACAGTTCAAGGAGATTCAGCATTAATTTTTCTTTCTTACCAGGTCTATCAAAGATTGACTTTATTTCTTTCCAGTACTCTGGAGCTGCTAAACTAACAACGTATTGTTTGGCCCACCAGAATCCTGCTATAGGACCATACTTCTCATGTAATAACATCATGTACTGGTGAAGGCTGCCTGCTTTTCCCATATCACCCAGATTACCCATCCTTGAAATTTAGAATTCAGAAAAAAATTTATTTACAAGAATTCAAAGTAATTAAAGTTGAATCTGTATAAAGTGGTCACCCTGTGTTAAGCAGTTGATTGTAAAAGTCCCAAATTGTTTTCAGTTAATTACTGTAATATCACCTCTATCATGAGGTCATGGTCAAGGTCACCCTTGATTGAATGCCAATGGCTTGTTTGTATTGTATTCATCTGTATTTAATCTGCTAAAGTCAGATGCCCCCCCCCCCTTCCCTTACTCTAAACCTTGATGAAACCCCTGAGCCATTGTGTTGCAATCATTGGCATATCTTCATGCAGGTGTGTTTTGGTGATTTACACACCCTTTCAATCTACACTTCAGAGTGTATACTCCTGACCCCTGGGGAGAGAAATGTCTTCCACAGAAAATGTGAGTACTTATCAAATTACTTACTCTGGGTCTGATGGTTCCTCTCCTGGAATTGATGGGCCTTTTGATGTACCCCTCTGTAATGGACAATGAAAATTGTTTTCACAGAGAAGAATTAATTCCCAAAGACAACTAAACTAAGAGTTAAGGCATTGTGCTATCCAAGATATTGGACTTTAAGTGCCTTTACAGAGCCTCTTGGCCCCTTTCTTAAAAGGTTCCTCCCTAAAAATGGTCTTCAGGGACCACTCTGGCCCTCAAGTAAAATATTCCAGCTGAAACACTGCCAAGAGTGCAAAGGGTTTAAATGTGACATATGATTACGCCCAGAATGAATATGTGATGCATGAAGTGTTCTGAAATACAAGGTAAGGAGAGATTTGAAGTTTTCTCTTTAGATTTGTAAAGTGTGACATACCGTTTAAGAAAGATATGTTTTTAAAAGTTGTGTGTGAAATGGGATAAGGACCCCTCCCCCAACCCCACCCCTCCTTTAGTACCTCTATGTAAATGTATTACCTTAGTCTTAATGGACAAATGGGTTTTCTGTGCTTATAAGAGAAATAACTTAGTGTCCTGTTATTAACTAAGAAGGGGTATTAATGTGAGTGGTATATTCTACACATACCCTTCCAATTTCTTACCATAACTCAGATTAAAAAGGAATAAGGTTTTTTTATATCCCCAGTCTAGGACAGGATTTCTGCACAGCCCAATACTTAATCATGCCTAGAATCCTTGATTACCAGACACAATGTTAAAAACAAAAGATTGCCTTTGGGACCAAGGCATTTTTTTACAGTAGTGTAGGGGTTACATGCATGGAAATCTTTCCAAGTCTATTTTGTTTAAAGGATAATCATGTGAGCGTATTGCAGTTATTAATTTCTTTCAGAAGACTCTAAAGCGCTATAGACCAAATATAAATTCAACGTCAATTCCAGCATGAAAGAAAATATAATAATAATAACCGAATAACCCCACGCAATTCTGAAACAAATTAAAGCCATAGTCTCATAGCCAATGTAACCTATTGTTTTCGCCATTGTCTTCTTATTGCAAGACCTGAATACATAATAAAATATGGCGCGGTGCAGGAATCTTGACCCAGACAGTTCTAACTCACACGAACACTACTTATTGAGCAACCGCAACCGCAACCGCAGTTGCACAAAGGTCGAATATTTGTGCGAGCATCTGAAAACTTTCATTTATACCACTTAGCTCGTGGTAGCTGTGAACACGGAGCGCGGCTGATTGCACTGAAATTGATTTACAAGAAATGATAACTAAATTCTCCCTACGACTATACACTAATTTACAGGCACAGCCCTTATAACAAAAAAAATAAATGTTTCGAGGGAAATGGAGTAATCGATATTGTAATTGAATGCCATTCAGTGAATTAAGTGAATAAATATTCCACGCGCGCAACCAACGTTAGCAAGGAAAGTTGTCATACTTACGAAGTCAAACATGAACAAAAGAACAATCAACAAACCAAAAACCATCACTACTGCAAATACACCCAGATCATTCACAGACATATGAGAAGGAAACATTTTTTCGGTTCTACAATGCAAAGGCAGTTCCAATATCTACTTTCCTGTACCTAAGGAGCTTTTTAAGAGCAGATTATCTGCCGCCCCAGTCTTTTTCAAGGCTCGTTTTGCGAGGAGTCTGGATATGAGAACTAAGCAATAGTTAAAGGGTGAGAGCTACCCAAGTGACCAAAATATCGCAGACTAATTAAAAAACTCACGGGGGAGGGGGTAAGGGCGAGGAGGAAAAGATTTCAGGCAAGGTGCAAACACACACAAAAAAATTAACGCCAAAATTGAAATAATAATAATAACTAGAAAAACTAGGAAGATTATCATGGAGCTTCATGACTATCATAACATGCTACATTAGCATGTTGTTTATAAAGTGGCTTCTTTCTATAACAGCGTTCAGCCACAAATCATATTTACCACAACACGCGCAAATATCAAGTGCACAGGTAAGATAATGCATATGTATCTCGTTCATTTATTAACTCGATCTTGATGTTATTATCTAAGACTTGAATCTGGAGATAAATTAACGACTATATATTACTCATCATTCATTCGATGCTTGGCTTCGTTGTGAAACAATGCCTTGCCATAAATCATATTGAACCCATTACTCACATATAGTAAGTGCACAGTTCATATAATGCATATGTATCTGGCTCATATATTTACTCGAACTTGTTGCTATCTAACACTTGTAGCTGGAGATAAAAGAAAGTCTAATTGACTATTACTGGTATACTTTATTTCTCGTTTTTTTTTCGATTCTATCTCAGCATGTTATTTAATAGGTGGCTTTGTTGAATAACAGTGTTAAGTTATATATCGTATTTACCCCATTTATCTACCATTGTATACATTTGCTCTTTTCAACTTCCTGAATTGTTTCCACAAAAAAAAGCAGACGTTTTGTTCCGAACAACTTCAGAACGATTTAAAACAGGATAATGCTGGGGCAATAGATAAGGAAACCTGAGTGATTTTGAATAAAGTGGTAAATACTGTATCATGTGATGCAGCCGTATTATATATGCACTGTAAACATTAAAGGCTACTTTTGATTACAAAATTTTCATTTTCGCAACACTCTATCATAAAACAAAGTTCATATGAGTGCTCGCCTAAACTATCTGCATAAGAAATGTAATAGTTCTGCCATGTTTGTTTCTATCTGGTTCTGCCGTAAATTAAGCGGGTTGTAGCACAGCCAACAGTCACATTATATACAACTCAGGTGTCAATCATAATCCTCACTCGCTGCCTCGTTCTTCGTTGTATTTCTTCTGCTCTGCTGGTTCGTTATTGTCTTTTTTCTTGTTCATGCATATCTTCTGATTAGTTGATACACCACTCTCTGCAGCGTCAACAAGAGCTGTCTTATTTACAGGCGTCTGGTGTCTAGATACAGTGGTTATTCAAAGGTAAATAGTGAGTTTTTTTGCGGTGGGGAGGGAGGGGGGGTGGAGTAATGCAGGGTTTTAGCCTCACGCTTAATCTCAAGTTAATTTTTTATTCAAGAAAGTCTAGAAGGAGTATGATTATTTCAACTTGGTAGCTGGAAAGGTTATAGTTCGTCGAAATTTCCTTGTAGGGTAGTTTTTACGGATTTGGTTGTACGGTTTTCTTTAAATCATTTAATCACAATTTTAAAGTTTTCCTTCTACTCACTTATATCGCTGTTGCTTATCTTCCAAAGACCCAAGTTCCGCGTTTGAGACAAACGGTAAGACAAAGACTTTCGTTTGTGTCCAGCGATGACATCTGTTGATGGTGTAGTCAACAACTTCAACGTTTGGCTCATTACATTCCATCCTGATTTCATCATCGTTTCCTTCGACATCTTCACAGCAAAGAGTGAAACTTAGAGCTCCGCTGTCTTTAACAGTGGCAGCAAACGACGGCTTCTCCGTCCTTCCTGTGTCAATCTGGGTTTTCATCAAGTTATCACCAGCCATACCATGAACTTCTCCCTGCAAATCATCAAGAGGGAGAAGCAGAGCCAGACAACAAGAAACAGACCACTGCGGGTTTTGGCGCCACTCTTTGTAGTACTCGTACAAAAACGTCAAGTATTGCACTGAAATAGTGATAAAATCAACTTGTGTCATTCAAAATGATTGTGTATTGGACTACGATGTACTTTAAAACAGTTTGTTATCAGCGCAGAGGCTTTTCCATGGGGGCTGTTTGGCAACGTTCCGCGCCTTTGTTTGCCTCTTTTCCTAATTATCTTGTGCTAAAGTAAAGAGTTAGAAAAATTAATAATGTTTATCTCCTATTCTAATTTTTAAGTGTTTAACTGCTGTTCACTTGATATCCTAGAAAAAAAAGGCAATAAAATTATCAATGTTTTATCCTTGAAATTTGAAGTCGCGCTGATTAAAAAGTTATCCCCTCTCCTAAAAGCAAGCAACGGAACAGAATGTCACTCGGCTGTTTTGGAGTTCCGTATGTTTAGTTGATATAACAACAGTTTACCTTTCAGCATCACTCACCAATAATTAGGCCAATCACCAGAGTATTTGCACTAAGTATAAGTATTTTCATTGCTATTACGTCTTTGTGTTTATCCACTATGTTTGATACATTCTCTGCTGGGATTCTGCTTACAGCGCCAATGCCCAGGTTCACAACTGTAACAGCGAGGGAAGCCGACATCAACAAGTTCTCAGAAGCGTCTTTGATCGGTTTCACCCAGCAGAAAAGCACTCCAAACATGCCTGCAACAACCCAAGTGAGGCCAATGTAGGATCTGCTCTCCTGTCCGACAAGAATGACACCAGAAGTAAGAACGACTTTACGCGACATTTCAACCAGTTCCCAATACCATGCTTCAGACTTGTAGTTTTCGAAGAGGAACCTCAACCCTTCAATTGTTTCCATGCCAAAGCCACCATCATTGTCTATTTTAGATACTATCACTCTCTTCTGCCTCCAAAGTACAGTTAACGAGGCAACGGGCAAGGCAACTACGTACGCGGTTGAAATGTATGCCAAGATAAGCCAATAGTCATATGTGGCTCCTTGGCATCTTAAGCTGTAATCTGCTTTGGCGTACATGTTACACAACTCTTCCTCGTCGTCCCGGCAGACTTTTCGGCAAGCTAGTGGCAAAACGCTGACTGTCTTGGAAAAAGTACCCAGATATGTCACATACAGGAAGAAAAACAAATTCTTACAAAACATGCGTTTCGTTTCCGAGATTTTGGTCGACTTTTCTTTGTCGTTGAGGTTGTGATTTTTCACAATTATTGTCTTAAACACAATATAACCAAAACCTGTTACACCAATGGCAGTGACATTCACAGTTAATATCAGGAGCAGTTCTCCAAAGACGTTCACGCGTAGCCCTGAAGATAAACAGTGAATGGGTGTGATCTGAAGCAGATTCATCTGAAGTATTCCGGAATAATTGGAAACAACATGCAGTGACTCTGGCCATTCGATGTACGAGAATACTGTCAGTAAGCCGTGCGTGACCTGATAAAAACCGATTAGTATCTTAAGCTTGGATAAAAACATGTCTACCAGATACTGGCCTCGGTCCTTTGATAACGTTGCTTTCCTCTTCCACAACAGAAATGCAACAAGTAGAATTATAATGACAAAGATGATCGAAAACTGTGCCACAATCCACGTCTTTGAGGGACATTTCGCGCAAGACTCCAGTTGCTTGTAGTATCCTAAAGAACAAACTGCACAAAGTGGACCCTCGTATCCATCTTCGCATGGGGAGTCCAGGCCACCTTTGCAAGACTCTTTTACTGGGCACCTGTACGGTGCTGGTATCGCATGCGGGTACTGTACGGAAGAATCATCTAACTCTGGAGAGGAAGCCAAAAGATTCTTTATGAAATCCTGGTAGCGAAGTTTGTATGACTCATTACGCCACTTCCACCAATATCCAGGTTTTAATGAAGCATATTCATCCTGGCAAACCAGTCCGCCAGATTTTTCACATTTGCGACATCCAGCAAATAGATGGGTTCGATAAAATCCTTCCAAACAAGGACAAGCACGGTATCCAGCAAAAAAGTCACTTTCCGTTCCTGTTAAATCCAATGAAAATTAAGTCAGTGTGTTTTCCAAGCGAGTCAACTTGTATTGAAATTACATTCGTCAAATTTTTTTCTTCTTAAAAATGATCATTGTCGTTCAAGGCTAAACAGATAAAAGGTAAATCTTTATGTTTCTGCTTTTTTTTCTTGACCAAAAAAGCGGCAGAGTGAAGTAGTAACGCTCCCCTTGGTACAAATAATGAGTACATTATTCCATTGATATTTGGCGTCCTTATCGTCAACGATCTGGAACTTACAGGGAGCGGGCCTCGGAACCACTCTTTCCCCTATCACGGCCAAAACTCTTTGCACAAAATAGTGCTGTTTAAAATTATTTTGTTTTTAAATTACTTACCGAGTGGGCACGCCTTGCATTCCAGTATTGATTTGCCAGGTTTTTTCTCAAATGGAACATACGATCCATTTGGACATTGCTTGCAGCCTTCCGCCACGTAAGCAAGAGTATCAGAGTAGAACCCACCTAATAAGAGATGTCATTATCCTGTGAATATAACCTTCAAAAATACTCTTGGTTATTATCTTTATAACATCTCTGTCACAAGTGACACAATTGACTTTTCGCTGTTTGGTGCATGTGTAGACACTTCAGATGGTATAATATTTCAGTAAACTGAGCATCTTTTTCTTGTGGGTCTCTTAGCAGGAAAACACATTTTCATTTTCTATAGTGGCCGTTTAGAGAAGGTTGATTACCTAACAATGAATTATACTCGATAAAATACCTGGTGGACATTCTGTGCACTTGTCATGTTTTGGTACGGAAGAATTTGAGAACGTCCCCAAAGGACATGGCAGAAATAACATGTCAGAACCAAAGGCAGTTTTCGTAAAGCCCATGGTCAACATAGTGGGCTGAAGAATGCGAAACCAATAAGTGTTCTCAAAATCTTGATGGACTTTGATCACTTCTCCGCTTTGATCGACAGGATTCCTGGGACAGAAAGTTATTTACCATCAATGATTTATTAAGATAAGCATGGAGACTTTGGGACAAGAGCAAGCAACTTCGAAACGCATAGGTCTCCCTGGGTTCTTGAGAGCAACAGAACAGCCAGCCAGAATATTTTTTTTGGACGCAATATTATAAATGGATAAATAGACTTCAATGGCTATCACAATTACTGGTGGACCCAGTAGTCTACTTTGTTGCCAAATAATTCACCTGAAATGCGAAATGAGTTGAAATAATTGATGGACATAGTATCAATAGCGCCCTTTGACAGGAAATTGCGGCTTTTAAGTGGAAATTTGACCACATAATATTTTTCTTTTTAGCATATTTAGGAGGAAAAAAGAAGAGACAACTCGTTTGTCTGTAAAGCTGTATTAACACTGCGAGGTATGTGGGCTGTCGTGAAGTTTGAATACAATATATTCTATTCATTTGCACCAGAATTGATTCCTATTTTCACCGGTCTAAACTGCCTTTCTGTTGAGCAAGATGACATTGTTTGGGTGTTTGCATATGTGCAGGGAAACTTTTGATATCGTCATTTGTTTATTTGTTTATCTGACTCATACAACAACATCCTTACAGGTGTACTTCCAAGGTCGTCGGGTTCCTGACTTTGTCCCAACGACGGTACTTTATAATCCGAGGAATTCTTGTCCACGAATTACTAAAAGAAAATTATGCGCAAGAGTGGGTTAGTACAGCGATCCTCTCAACCTTTTTTCAGGGATCAGTCTGGTTGAGGGAGCTACGTATGTGATTAGACAGATTCTTTGTGAAGGCTGTTGGCAACATACATGTGTCCATCAACTTATCCCAAAAATTGCACAAAACGATTGTACAGTGGAACCTGTATTAAAGGGCACCGTATTGAGCGGTCGGTTGTCAAAGTCCCAAAAGTCGTAGTAACCCTTTACTGAATCCTAACGGCCTGTTTGTATTGTCTTCCACCTGCATTGAACAGTCAGTTAAAGCGGAACCACTTGAGTACAACTAAAAAAAAGCTTTTAAGTATATTTATTAATCCATGTTTATCTCTCGAAATCAGTGTTTTTGAGCGAGTTTTTTTCGGGAGCCCATGATGGGCTCTTGTTCTTGTACATAAGCGGTAGCTTACGGCATAAAATGGCGTTTTTAATCGTTTTTATAACACATCCTTACAGAGGAACTTGTACGAGGCGGTAAACCTATATTGAGTAGTCAGCTTGCCGTTCCGCGTGGGTGACCGGCTGATAAAGGTTCGACTGCAGTTCAATGCCTTTGTCATAAATATAGGCTTTCAAAACATACGGCCCAAAAATTATAGAAAATGCGTGATACTTAACAGCTTAAAATCTTCAACTTTGAGCTTCATAAAACTGTCAGAGTTAAATCTTTTCAATTTCGTTCCTAAAAGAAATCTGTTAAAACACAACAATTAGTTTCTTAAAAAAGGCTAAATTTGTTGAAGACATTTGAGTCTTACTAGATACAGAACCTAAAAGAAGTTTCTGTGAAGGTATTACTCCGCATATACGATGTTTCAAAATTAGTTTTTAATAAAATCGAATCAAAATAATGTTTAACAGGGTAATTTCGTATCATCAACCGAGTTGATAGCGTAAATTGGCCATCGTAAAGAGCTACAAAGCTGATGAAAGGCTAATGCTCGAAACGTCAGCTTTGAAACTCAGTACCACAGTTTCTTTAGAAACTTACTTCTTTACTTATAAGAGTAGGAAGTCAAGGAACCAGACTGCTCTTTGGCAGCCTCGGTCCTAGTGCTCTTTTCGCGTGCGGTCACAGATGAGCGGTCGCATAGTTACACAGAAGTGACACATGGTCTGACGTAGCTTTTAGACGGTAAGTTGAAGTTTGATAGATTTGATCTCAAACATGTTCATTTAATTTAGTTTCATTCAGGAAGCATGGTAACTAGAAGGCATGCATGTCCACTAAGTGATCACAAACTCAAATTTTGTTTCTAATCATTAATTGTGCTCTTTTGTCGGGATTATTTCAAGGGACACGCCAGAGTATCTAAGTACATCCCTGAGTTACCCTATAGAGGTTTCTATCTCGTTTTTCTAAGAAACTATAAGCAGTACAACTAAAATAAGTGACAAAAGTAGTTGGCACACCTCCCCCCCCCCTCAGTAGGAGGTCGACATTCCTCCACTCAACATAGTAAACAAATATCTTATAACTCATGTCTAATAAGTTTTTCTTGAACGTTTTCCCTATCACCCAAAACAATGCTGCTTGGTGGAAAAACTTACAATCTGAAATCAGAGAAGCCACCAAGATGAAACGCTTCTGGGTCAATTGTCTCTATGGGATTCTGAGAAAGTGCTCTGGAAATAAAAGAGGAATTGATGAGGTAAATACTTAGATATGTTTATGGACCATGCAATAATTTTTTTTCCGAGCTAGCTCTATAGTTTATAGCAATCTGGTTATCTCGTTATTTTACCCGAGGGGTTCGTTATTTGTTGTGTGGTACAAAAATAATCTGTGATAATTCTTGAGTTGCTCGGATTACCTCGTATATATCAACGTTCTGGTTCGAATTCTTCGATTATGCATTCTGTTCACATGGGCGCACATCAACTGCATGTTAACATTATTCAGTGGCATTCAGAATTAAAGCAAGAGAAACGTATGATAAGTAAAGGATGTATGTGTTAGATTTTGGCAAATGGTCCATTCGTCCATACTTACATTATCTTCAGTTCTTTCATGGTAGCAAACGCTCGATGTGGAATACGTCGTAAACGGTTGCCGTTGAGCAATCTAAACCGAAACAAAGAGAATCTTGCTTCGTAACACGGAAACAGAACTCTACGTTTTATCCCTTCAAGAGATAGCACTTACTGGCTCGAGCTAGATATATTGCGGTTTGCTTGGAGGGAACGATGGTTTCAGTCCGGGTTCAAAATCACTACCGTTTAATTATTGTTTTTGTCTAGCGAATGCAGGTCCATCTACATTACATAATTGTAAAGAGTACAATCTTTTTCAGGCTCTCGAGAAAGAAATCAAAGTGAAATTAAACGATGCTGCCACGAGAATAATTTCTGAGGTTATTTTCTATTTCACGTACAGGTAATGAAGCACTGTTAACTTGGAAAACAGTTTTTCTGTTACGAAGGTTATAGCGTTTGAAGACAAATCCCTATAAAGCATAAACAGATTAATGCATAAATGAGTGAAGTACGGTTCTAACAATTTAGAATAAGTTCCCACGCGTGAAGCGCGCTAGTGGTGCCAATACCAAAGAAAATATGCTGATCATTCGAGCCAAAAATTTTGATTGTGATGTTTTAACGTTACGACAGTTAGTCCGTACGCCCTCGGCAATCTGCATTGCGCACGCGATTTCTCTAAAAACCGATAGGTGGTCAAATCTTTAACCATTCAAATGCACAAGCTCCGGAAGATGTGCATCCGACGCGCTCACCCCGATGCACTGCGCTTAGTTAGCCATGATATTCTTGCGCGTTTGCTGCAGGATATATAATCTTAATGCGCACTTGGCCATGGACTTCTCATGATTTAGCAATGTGCGTGTTCGCCTAACTGCGCCCGTAGCCCAGCTTGCTTACCACTGGAAGAGAGAGTGTTTGAAAGGAAACGATAAAAAATTTAGCCGTATCTGTAAACTTGAAATGTGAATGTTTTGACATAAATATTTCTCATTTACATACAGGTAAAGCAACCGAGTTGGCTTAGCAAACAATCCTTCTGGTAAGGATACAATGGCGTTTGAAGATAGACCCCTATGAAAACAATAATTCATTAATCCTAGAAAGATAATTCCACCAGTTTAAGTCCTAGGGGAAAACAGAGATGAAAATAGCATGATATATTGTAATCTATTCCAAGTATATTCCAAATGAAAAAACTAGACTGTGTTTGGGTAAGTTGAAAAATAAACAAACAACCAAAAAAAATAGACATGAAGGCATAATTCAACCATGACACGAATATTTTCATCTAATTCCAGTGGGATTTATTAATTCACGTGTAAGATTTTAGGTTAACGAGAAAAATCTGAAATAAAAGGGAAGACTAGTAAATAAAAATCGTGGTAAAAAGCAATGCCATGACAAGACAAACATTTCTGCTAAAGGCAAATGTTATATTCCATTTCACTTACAGGGCCTCCATTTGTGTTAAGCTGGCAAACAGTCCTTCTGGTAAGAAGGTTAAAGCATTTGAAGAGAAATACCTGTAGAAACATCATTCAATCAAAACAGGAAAAAAGAGAGTTTTTTAATCACTTTATATCCTGGAGGAAACAAATAGCTGTGGCAACTTGGTAGGCAATCTTATAATCGAATCTAAAAGTAAGATTATGTTTTTAATTGGGAAAGTAGCTAATTAAAAAAATATGCCATATAATTTGAGTATATATAGAATATATGTCATTAAATGATAATAGGCTCATTTTTCTTTTGATCTAAGATAAAAATTAAATGATGTGCATGTTAGCGTTTCTTATATTTTTCTGTGAATCAAATTATTGAAAATTTGCCGATGGCTCGAAACAAGATGAAACACGGTCTTTCGAGAGAATATAATTGGTCCTATTTTGTTTGCCTTGTGTTACGATCAATACCTACCCTTCTTTTATTCATTCATTTCATTTTATTTTCACAACGCAGACACTAGTGTACTAAAATTCAGTTTCCACGTCTGACATTGATCGACTTACTTACATACTTGGCAATACGCACATAATTTACTATAGGCATTACTTTTTAAATCAATTGAACCTGATGGTTTCCAATTAAAAAAAGCCGCTGGTGGAGAGAAAAAAGCCCTTACATAGAAATGACACACCTTATTGCATTGAAGAAATTTGGTCACAACTGCCACGAGAGTAAAATTTTTTAGGGTTTATTTTATGTATATTTTATCTTACGTACAGAGAGCCCAGATTGACTTGGTGGGTAAACAGTCCTCCTGGTAAGGAACTTAAAGCGTTTGAAGACAAATTCCTTTGAAAACATCAATGAATTAAGCTAGAAACAAATAGTATTATCTGATGCAAAAAGAAAAAAGCAATGACTGCAAAGCATCCCATGTTTTAATCGTTGCCAGAAGTGATGAGATGAACTTTTGAAAGACTTTCTCAAATAAACAAGACTGTATTTAAGGAATGTGAGATGAATAGAACGGATTCCCTGTTTTAACAATGGCAGTAAAATAGTTTTCTTTCCTAAATCATGAGAGAGACTACGGTGTTAAAGGAAACGTATGGAATGAACGAAAACATTTATAACAAAGAGAGCTAAAAACCTCTAGTGAAGAGTTTTTAAAGTTTTTAATTGTAAGTTTAAACATTCAATCTCATCAGTAGAATTCTGCAATGCCATGGCAACCACATTAGTTATATTTATATCATATTAACGCACAGGTGCCGCAGTAAGGTGAGCTTGGCAAACAATTCTTCCGATAAGGAGGATATCGCATTCGAAGACAAGTCCCTTCGAAAGAAATTAATTCAAGAAAGAAAGAATTCCATGATATTACTTCTTTGCGGAAAAATAGAAATTTTTAACAGAAAAACTTGGTGTGTTAATCTACACACACAGTCCATAAGGGAAATTTGGTAACCGGAAAAATCTCCCCAGCGTTGGAGAGGTGACACACGCAATTATCCTACGTACGACGTACCAATTACATTTTAACAATGTTATGAAGAGAAAACTGTCATGGATAGCTTAGATTTATTGCGTGTTACTCACAGGCTCCGCAGGTTGGAGGAGTTGACAAACAGTCTTCCCGGTAAAGAAGCTATAGCATTTTTTTGTAGATCCCTGTGAAAAAACCAATTTCTCAACCGAGGAAAAAGGAGTTACATATTGTAGTAGTGTTTCCTCATAGAGCAGTAGTGAAAATAAGGCCTGAAAAAAAATTCAGGCCTGTACCTGTACCTTAACGTACGTAATAAAATATATGATGTAATGATTCATCCTCTAGTCCCAAAATATGGAAAAGATTTGGTAAACTTATTATGTCTAATAGTACTCACAGTCTGTAAAGGTTAGTTAGGTCGGCAAACAATCCTTCTGGTAGAGAAGTGATAATGTTTGAAGACAAATCCCTTGCAGAAACATTAGATATTTTTAATGGTGTAATTTTTTTCAATTACAGGACGATTTTCAGGAAAGACAAAGGGAAAGGTGATAGCATTTGAAGACAAATCCATGAAGAAACATTAAAAATTTAATCCTGGAGCAAGCAAGTGGAGGCATAGAATTTGATAGAGAGGAAGTAACGTTTAAATTGAATCCTGACGCAGTCGTTACACCTCAGTGGTTTCAATACGAAGTTTAGGAAAAGGCTGAAAAAGAAGATTTCGAAAGCAAACAAAGTAATATGTTTTATGGTACGCACAGTCTATAGAGGTTTGTTAGGTTGGCAAACAATCCCTCTGGTAAAGAAGTAATTGTGTTTGAAGACAGGAATCTATCAAAACATAGCAAACATTTCACGGAATAGACAGTGGTTGTCTGTTTGTTTTTTATTACAAGACAGTCGTGTGAAAAGGGAATGAAATCTGTCTGATAGGTAATTGCGTTTGTATCTTAACATCTATCTAACGTCATATTCCAATAAGATTTTTAAAAAATGATAAGAAATAGAGATTTCGGGGTGAACTTAGCATTTTTCATGGTACGCACAGTTTAACTAGCTCAACTGGATTGCCAAAAAATCCTTCCGGTAGAGAAGTAATAGCATTTGAAGACAAATTCCTGCAAAAATATTTCATTTTTTAATGAAGACGAATTAATGCATAATTTTGTCACAGTTGAAGGGAAAGGCAATGACTACATGGAAATGAATTTGATGGGAAGCTTGTAGGCTTTGGAAAATGAATTAAGACATCTAGTTACGACAAGTACATTGGAATTCACAGTTATTAGACTAATAATATAGTAAAATTAAGGAAATTAATCTTATTGTAATATTGGAATAGAGCCACAGAAAATTTCGAGTAAAAAGTTTTTATTTCATTAGGAAAAAAGTACAGCTAAATTTATCATCTTTCATACCCATTTTACTCACATGATGCTTTTGACGTTCATAATCTTAGCAGCATGAAGGACAAGTGCCAAATATGAAGCTAAGTATGTTCGGACTTACCTTTATTCTCTTTGACACAGTGCTACAGCAAAGGGGCGTAGGAGGCCAAAGGTCTGAGGTACCATTTCTCATTCCGCGTTCATAACAAGATGAATGGGCTGGACTTTATTGCACTTTCGAGCTCAAATTTACCTTCTCACTTATTATTTTAATTCTTATTTCTTGTTTCTAGGAATGCTAATTGAATATGCTGTTTATAATATTAACAAAACGTTTCGAATTGAAGATGAATACCTATGTTAACGAAATGAAGATAAATACATATACAGAAATAGATCAAGTTGTACCATTGCATCTTTTTTATAAGTTATATGTATCAATTCCATTAAAAACGATTCAGCTCGGGTTTTGATAACGGTGCATAATCGATTAAATAACAATCATTTAAAATTCTAACACTGTAGATAATTCACGAGTGAAAATCATGATTCAGGTTTGCCTCACACTTGGTATCATAGGACTGAATATAAATAAGAAAATCACACACTGCTACCGTACGTGTATATCAAATCAGTGATGAGTAGACTCTACGTGTTTGGGAAAGAATCGAATGAGAGACGTACAATTACTAACGATACTTCATAAAATATCGATCAAAACTGATATGCCCTTATTAAACCTATGGCGATGATTTGGCTTCTTCACCAATCGATAAAGAAATAATCTGCAAATAGATACTGATTGATTTACTCCAATACGAACAAAACCATAACATCTTGACCATTGACTCGAAACAGAAAAAGATGGGACTATTAAGAAAGATGCGAAGCAAGTGAGTGTGGATAGTTTATCTCGTAATATGATCTTACAGTTTTTCAGTCGAAGCTGGAAGACAGTTGCTGAGATGTGCACCTGTTACATTTGTGCAAGAGAGAGTATTCCCGTGAGAGATGCTCCACTCAGAAGAACAGCTTGGTCCGCAATCTTTAAAATAAAAACAGATTTGAAACAAACATTCTCTTGAACGATACCTTTTACGTCCAAGAAAGGGTATGCCAATATCCTCATTTGCACGTTGAGCTACGAGGATACCTTCTGAAGATTCAAAAGTAGGGATGAACCAGTTTCTCCTATCTAATGACTTTTATTTTTATTTGGAATTATAGTATTGTGCACTTTTTGAAAAAGAATACCTCCCTCTCATATACGCCCCTGTTAACTTAGGCATAGCACAAGTGAAAGTTCCTGTTATCTGAAACGATAGTTCGGTAAAGGTTAGAAACTTTACACAACGTTTCCTCTTACCTCGAAGAATCGCCAGCAGGCAATCTAGAAAACGTCCAGCAATATTAAATTTGTCAAAAAAAATTACAAAAATCACCTGATTACGTCAAAACCTGATTGCATTACATGAGAAAGGTGGTGTAACTTGATTTTCACATCACTAATGATTTCCGATCCAGGCTAAAAATGAAATGATTACGATGTGAAGCGAATTGACGCTTCTAGCAGGTTGTTTACTGCTGCAAAATCGAAGTTAAGATTATTTAAGGTTGAGGTGCTTACCCGAAAAAGTTACAGAGAACATTCTCAAGTCGAATCCAAACTTGTTGGTGGCCACACAAACAAAATTTCCTTCTTCAAGTTGAACAGCCACTGATGTGTTTGTTGTGTCTACGAATACTGCCGAGTGGCTCAGTATTACTGTGTTTATCGGAGGCGTTCCGGTCACTAAAAACGTCACTTTGTAATCTGGCAGGGTTTGTACAACAGTAGACAGCGATATGTTGGGAGGACCATCAATAAAATGTAAGGTAGCGGCATTGTAAAAATCAGTTCTGTTTGCTGTGGATCAAAATAATGAATGAGTCAATAGAAATAAAGTTCGGCAGAAACTCAGGAAAATTATATGATTAGGACAGGTCCTTCCTTTCGTTACGCTTTTTGCAGGACGTTAAAATTTTCAGTATTACAAGTGTCATTTTCTTCAAGAGAAATCTCAGTGTTACAAGTTACTATCATAAATTGCAAATATCATTCTCGAGCTCTACTTTTTTTCACACCGTGAAGGCATCAGACTAAGAAATTCATCGCTGAAAAGTTAAAGGCAGTTAAACATCCTCGAACACGTGGTCAGTCTACTGTACGCCAGCAGTAAAATTTAGTCATCCAACAATCTTTTTCACAATTCGTAGTAGTCGTATAATATTTATACATTATCTGCTAAACCTGTGTTAGTGGCAACATCTGTAGGCGCTGTAACATATGCAGGAAGTGCAAAATGCGGGAATGTGGTATCTGTAGTCGCCAAGAGGTCTGAAAAAGTTAAGTACAAGAGTACAAGTTGTGTAGCGGATGGATCCCTCAAGCTTGGAAACAGCCAAACGATTTTCATTTTAGGTTGAAATGGAACCTCGAATCGACGGCGTTGTTTTTTGTATTAGTTATTATACTTGTTAATTCTTATGATATTCAAGTTCCCGCCCAAAGCTTGGCAACATTCGAAGCACGGTTTGTCCTGACAAATTTTCGCCAATTGATTTAAGATAAGCGTGATGCGTGTAGATGATATCGAGTTATAATTCTGCAAATTTGTTTTGCCGTGAAGACATACTTTGTTTTCCCTTATATTTGCAACGGTAACAATATTCTTCGAAAAAGGCAAAATGCATAGGGCAGAATGCGTGGACATGATTATTTATTCAAAACCGAGAAAGCGGCAAATTTGAACGCGACCTCGCCTTAAAGAGCCCTGAACTAGAGAAGAATGGGTCAAATTTGGCCTACAAGGCTTCATAAAACTCACTTTTATGAGTTTTAGAAGAGCTTACTTCTAAATCAACGCACGGCTGTTTGAAGATGAAAGATGTATCTATAATTTGCACCTAAAATGAACGATTTTTACGAAGTAGAAGGATTATCATTTTTCACTTGAAAATACTCAAAATTTGGTCATTTTCAGTAAAAAAAGGTCATATTCAAGAGCGATTTCCTTAATGCAGTGACCTCATTGGAAAATTTTTCGTGATAGCTTATGGCAATAACGCCTTGGTTTACTCTTTCAAAAACTGAATTTCGTTGTTTTAACGTTAAAAATATATATAAAAAAAATTGTGCCGAATCGCCTTCGAATTTGATCGCATAACACTGACTGCGTCTACATTTCTTGGAGATTTTTAGGAAATGCGTGTTCTGAAAAATTCAACTCGCAACATGCAAATTCGTTTGGGAGAGATTCAGCGGATACTACAAACTTACATTTACTGAAATGCATAACATAGGTAAAAAAGTAGACTCGCATCAAGTCATTTCTCAACTAAATGTTCTATTGATCCTTTGCGCTGTTTCCATAGCTCCCGATAATTTTTTTAGAAACTAGGATATGTAAAAGAGTTTCGTATTCAATCGCCTGTAGGCAGCTTGCGAAGCTAACAAAGACATATTTACCGTAGATGATTTGTTCGAGATACGATTGTTTGACAAAATCTGGGGGAATATCTTTCAATCAGAGGATCTAGGGGACAACTCATAACCAGGGGAAGAAGAGAGAACAGACTGTTAATTTGAATCAAAGAAAGAGCGGAGAGATTTCTCAAAAATCCCTGAATTCAGACATGAGCCAATCAATTTATAGTTAACTGATTAGTCTGATATTCCTTGAAGCCGTGACCTTCCTAAGTTTTACTACAGTAGGTGTAGTACCTTTTCTCGGAGTTGCAGTTACTGCATCCGTGGGAACTGTAATATATGTAGGAGTTGCAGTAAGTGTAGTATCTGCAGGAGCTGTAGTGGGTGCAGTATCTTCCGGAGCTGCAATGAGTATTGCATCTGCAGAAGGTGCGGCGGGAAGAGTATCTGCAGGAGCTACACCAAGTGCTGCATTTTCAGCAGCTGCAGTGGGTGTTGCATCTATATAGGGTGCAGCAGGAGGAGTATCTGTAGGAGCAGTACCAGCTGATGCATCTTCGGGAGCCGCAATGGGTAGATTATCTGGAGACGGTGCCGCAAGAGGAGTATCTGCAGGCGCTCGAGTTGGACTAGTATATGTAGGAGATAAAGGAGTCGTTTTTTCTGTAGGAATTCTTGTGTATGCTCTAAATATGGTACCTGAAATATATGAGGCCCACATAGTTTAGCAGAGTGATTTTCAAGCCTATTGGTTAATTTAAATAAAATAGATCCTGTATTTGACACGACCCGCAGTTATGTTGAATTATATCCTAAATATTTCCCTATTTGTATCCACGACTACAGGGAAATCCTAATAATAAGGAACGATGAAAAAAAGGCTTCTATAACAAGACTTTTTTGGAAGAAAGCCTTTCTCTCAGAAAGACCTAAGCCAACCAAGGCATACTGCAAATGGAAAAACTCCTTTTCAAACAGGATAGTGCATACTAGGATCATGTTTGAGTTTCTAGTTTACGTAAAGAAAGCTTGTGATGGATGAAGTGTTAGTAGTTTCCAAAGGACCGAAAAACTGAAGTTGGTGCAGGATCAGTTAATGCCTAAGGCCCCACTCTCCATTTTGAGGAAGAAGAAAGAGAATCTGGCCACATACTGCGAGCTCTTCAATTTACTTTACATCAGCATCATGGTTTATCAGGCAAAATTCAGTTGGTTCTTACCCCCTTCCTAATAACGTTCTTCGATCGCTTTATCACGAGAAGCTAATCATTAGTTTTCTTAAAAATAAAACTGATCATGAAAACGTGAAGTTATGTATGTTTTCCTGTTTGAAACCTTTATGAATTGATATCTAGTTGGACCCTGGTTGTTCAGGGATCAGTTTTTGCAGGGTTTTAGTGTAGTTACAACCGGTTCAATTTCCACTTTATTAATACACTGTGATATGTTGTAGATTCGGAAGCCTTTATCACCTACCAAAATCGGTACTCGCTTGTCGTAGACTTTGTGGAGTAGCCAGATTAAACTGAGGAACTACAGAACATGTTCTTCTTTGACATGGGTACTCTGCAAAGTTAGTAAAGCATGCGTGAATACACAGAGGAATTTTTTTTCTGCTCTATTTACAGCTAGAGTAATCCCTTTCTTTGAAATTGAAATTTTGACCTGTTGAAATATAGTGGGAAAGTTTAAGTGTTTCTTTATTCGGGTGGGCTTCCCCTTAAAAATCAGTTCGGCCCAGGAGCTAGCGTTCGTTAGCCTTGGATTGATTTCATGGATAGTTGGTAGATTTGTTTCACGAGCCAAAAACTCGTTTCTAAGAACAGGAAACTTCCTAGATGTTATATTAAATATCTCTGATTGATGCCAAGTTAAGTTCTCTTCACGAAATTACAAATAATGGGGCAAAATACTAATATAAATCGTATCAAGGAAAGTGGGTCAAAATTGATAACAATAGGCTTTAAAGCGAAAAATGACCCTATATGGCCATTTTTGAACAAAGGCGCAACAGCTTCAGAACACATGTGGGATTTGTCGAATTTTCCGATTAGCATACCAGCCGGAAATTTAAACGCTCAAAAAGACTGAAGGAAAGACAAATTCTCTCCCTGGGGAGGGTGATACTGGTAGGATTCGTTCAGTGCAAATAACAATGGTGCGGGGGACGGGTAGGGGCGACGGTTGCATAAAGGTGAACGATATTAAAGCTTAGAAGGCGCTAGCTTACAACTATGATATCGCCACTGTTTGCTGTTATCTTGCTTTCAACTGGCCAAAGATATATTTAACTATTTATCCAGAGACGTAATACGCTAGGCACTGACTATGAGAGTATGCATTTAGCTAAGGAAGCGAGGCGTTCACCATGCAGTCATAAACTACGAGCAGTCCCTCTCTACTCTCTCTGATCATGATTTTCCAAGGAGACAGCGAAAAAAACATTTGAAAGGAGAAAATAGCAGCGAGAAAGTTGGGGAAGGAAACTTTCAATTCCTTGCTCGACGGACTATCGAATCACAACTTCGCCACTCTCAGATTTATTTTTCATAGTATGAGAGCAGTTCAAATCTCGCGCGCGCTACGCAAGTCAGACGTAATTCTTTGTGTGCATAATAAGCAATGGTAATAGGACTGAGTGGAATCCAATTCGGTCTGTAATCATACGAGTGATGACAAAATCGGACAACCGTGCTGCGGAAGTCCGATTTTGTTTATCCCAGGTGTGATAACAAACTACCGAAATTCATTTCTTCCCAGCTCCTGCATAAGGAGACCCCAAGCCAAGACAACTCAAAGAGAGGGGAAGGTATATCGAAGAAAAATCGAAAGAATTGATGTAAAAAATTCCCTTCCTTATGCTTGGATAAATAATTTCTCGGCTATCCAGCGGATATGTGGGTAACGGATCAATACTGATATCTCAGGTCGCCTTATTCTAATAGTTGCAGTACCTGTAGGACTTGAAGTAGGCTTTGTATCCGTAGTAGTATCGGTAGGACTTGTAGCATCTGTACAGTCATGTATAA